TTTTTAGAATAAGCTATACCCATATGTTTATAATTTTTATTTAATATATTTTCACGATGACCTTTAGAACCCATCCACCTATACAAAAAAAAATATTTTTAAATTATTTTTTTTTAAATTAGATTATTAAACAAAAAAATTACCCTTTAACTACATCACGTTCATTTTCATAATTCCATCCTATATTTTCTCCAACATAAGAATAATCATAATTTTGTTTTTTAATTCTTACACCCAAAGAGCCAGAATCATCATCATGAGTTAATTTATTTTTCTTTATCATATTATAATAAATAAATATTATTATCATTATTAAAACAAATAATTTAATATTACAACTTACTCATCTAATACAAGTAGTTTAAGTTCTTTTTTTCTTCGTTCTTTATTTACAAGATTAAGTAATAAAGATTTATCTAAAGTCATTTTTTTTTGTAAAAAAAAATAAACGAACAGTATAAATTTATTTATTTTATATTTTTAAATTTTATTTATATTGTAAAAATTTATTTATACATATTAAAAAAAACTAATTTTGATTTTTAAGATAATAAAAAGTTACATTAATTTTCTTTTTAAGTAATTCATTGATTTCATTACATAATTTTCTCGGTGCTTTAAGTTCTTGATTATTTTGTCCACGCCATCCATTATTTTCCCATTTATCTATTCTATTTTCAACTAACATCGAATAAATATTTTTATTTTTTATTTTAATTTCAACTTTTTCTTCATCAGTTTCTAACATATTCTTTACTTCTTTTAACTGTTTTAAATAATTAACTGATGGTTTCAATGATTGTTCTTTGTCATCGAGTATTACATTTTTTTTATATACTTTTTCTTTTACTAATGATAAACTTTTAATTTTACTAACAATATTATCTGTATTACATAAAAATATTTTTCTTTTAGAATTTAATGCTGCTTCTTTAGATTCTGTTGAAAAATCAATAGTAGTAACAAAAAATCCTACAACTTCTCTAGGTTGTGATTCAAGAGCTTTATCAAATTTTTTAATATCTTCAGCTTGTTCATCATAAAGATTCTTTCTATATTTTGCTTGAATAGCAAAAAATACTTCATTATAATTTCCAGTTAAATCTATTCCACCATCACCGATAAATTTTTTATT